TGCCGCCGCACCGGCTGCATCTGCCTAGCCCGCTCGGAGCCCGGACGCGGGCGGGGAGGCAGCCCGCAGCCCCAGAGCAGCCCTGCTAAAACAATAAAACCCAGCAAACACACGCGCGCGCTCGCGCGCGTACACACACACACACACACACACACACAAACACACACACACAGCACTCTGGACGGCTTTCAAGTCTACCTCGAGAAACAGTCTTCTGCAAGTGAGAGGAAGCAAAACTGGATACCCAGACAGGCTGAGGGGCTGCCTGCTTTTAGACTTGACTTTTGCCGCCTTTTCTTCTTTGGGCCAAGAACTGTGGCATTGCAGAAATAAAACAAAAGTAAGAGACTAACTCCTGGATTGCGCTTTAAAATAAAAACTATTAATAAATACAATAAGTGACACCAAAACAACCCTTGAGAAAGTCCACAAATCTGTACCTCAGATACGTGAAGTCAGCGGCCCAGGGTTCTGTTTACAGACTCAACATCTCTTTTATTTAACGTAATAGAATGCGGTGGTATGTGGCTTTGAAATGACTGGCTTTATTTGCTTGTCTTGTTTGTCCCTTGCATCCCCTTCTATCCCCAGACACAGATTTTTTACTGTTTGTACATTGTAAAGAGACTTTACCTAAATGTCATTTCTTCTTTACAAGTTGGGCCATAGTGTTGGATTTTCAGCCTTAATGCTTTTTTTTTTTTTTTAAGCTTTGGCAACTTTAGTGTATATGTCACACTTTTATAGAGACATTGTGAGTCCAAAACAGTGTGAAATGTAGCATTTTTCCTGCTTCAACTCCCTACTCCCCCCCCTTCTCCCCCATGATGGAAAAAATTACTGTACAAATGATACTTTAGTTGTACCTTGTAGCCCATTCTCTCTTTTTGGAGCATTTTTCTTCTCTTTAAGGTGAATATGCACAGATTTGTTACATATGCTCACTTAAAAGTGTCTTTATTTAGCTCTGGTGTACTGGAGTTTTTAAAGTCAATCTTCATTTTAAAGTTTAGTTACCCCTAGCCCCTTGTTCCTGAAGTGGCAGGATAGAATTGTTAGCCCTCCTCCCACTCTCCCCCTCCCTTAAAAAAAAAAAAAAAAAGATTATGATGGATTTCTTCCTGCTCCTGTTAATAATTTTTTTTCCTGCCCTGCTGTTTTTGCTCTAGGATTTTTTCCCTTCTGCCTAACTGTGTGTGTGTGTCTGTCTCCCTTTTTCCTTGTCCTCTCTTCGCCAGTATGTCTGGAACACATTTTAATGCACAATATCCCATCCATTAAGTTGTGGTTGAATGCGGAGTGTGTGAGGACTTGGCAGCTTTCAGGTTGAAGGGGGCGGGGAAGCCAGTTTCGACTTTGACACAAAATGCCGAAGTGGCGTGATTGGAATTATTATTAGTGCTGTGAACATGGCCTTCTTCTCCTGGAGTTAGTAGAACTGCCATTGAACTTGAGATGGGACAGACAAGATCTCCAACCCGCTCCCCCCAACCAAGTACAGTAGCTGGCAGGGAAAAGGCGCCAAAATACACAAGATTAACTCTAACTTTCTTTGACAGGATCCTATAACACCATCCTTTGTAATTTTAACTTTCCAACGGGCGGGAAAAAGTTAACTTGGGAACCCATACTTAAACAGATATTTAAATCAGCCCTAAAATGGAATAAATCCAGAAAGTCATACACACATGCTTATGTGGTTAGAAAAGAATGCAAATGTAAATAAGCAGGATGAATGTGTGTATCTGACTGGGGAGTTCAAGATTTAATCAAAATGAGAATTAGTGTGACTTTTGAGTATATTTACTGTATGGGGGAGAGCATTGTGAGGCGAAGAAGTTGACCTTTAGGCAGCCTAAGTAAAAACTGCAAAGAGTTGTGAAACACAAAACGTTGTGGTTTCCAGTTTTACATCTGAGGTTTGATGTTTTCACTTAATGGTATGAGAGATGCAGAAAGCTCCAGTGCTGAAAAGTCCCTATTAAATCATATGTGGGCAAAGGTCAATCACTCCAACTCACTGATACACTATACTGCAGATTCCTGCCTAACTGATGGGGAGCACAGGAAAAAGTGCTTGGGCAATAAAAGTATTAGAAGGGTAATTATCGTCCGTGGTTGGGACTGCATTCTTGTGCACTGGCAAAAGGTTTTTACTAGCCCTGATGAATTTTAAAGCTGAGTATTGTTGAAAGCTGTTTTAATAGGAAATTGATTAGCTGAGTGTTTCATACAATAAATGGTGACAGTTTCATTGTTTGATGTCCAAAATAAATTCCTTTTATTCTTTAGTAGACAGAGGCATCCATTTAATTTTAAGATGGTCAGACTGAGCAGCAGTATAATTATTGGTGAATGTAATGTCACGAACATCTGTAACTTTGCTTTCAGAGTTTGTGACGTCACACAATTTGACAATATTATTGCTTTGGAATTTATTAACTTACTGTGTATTGTGAAATTTTTTCAGATATATTTCAGAGATAAAGTTTACTTAAATATCAATATATATTTTGTATAGGCCCAACTGTCTTCTATCTTTGTAATTATGCAATTGTTGGCTAAATTTTATTTTGAAAGTTAAAATGCACAGTCCTGTTGTTATGCATTGTTTTGGTTTTGAAACAGAAAGGCAGTTTTCAAGGAAAGAATTAGAGAAAGGGGTGCAGAAAGTTTGAGTTGGTTTGCAACGCACTTTCTACACTTAATGCAGAATGTAAAGACGACTTAGCCATTCTGGATGAAGCTTTCTAAACAGATCTTTAAAACTCATCTGTTTTCATGTCACAGAGGCACATGTAGATGGGTAACAGAAGCCAATTTACATGTAGAAATAAAATGATAGTATAGTTTTACTTTAAAGGTCAGCTATCTTGAAAAAGGACAATAGCTACAACTCTCAAGACTGTATGTGACTCAAAAGAACTCAAAAGAAGACTGTACGTGAAAGTGCCTATAACTTTTCAAGTATTGTGAGTGAAGCAAGGCAATTATTACCATGATTTTCAAAGTTTAAAATAAATCATGCAAAAATTACAGGGCAACTGCTGACATTGTAATCCCGGAAAGCAAATGTCTTCAGAAGTTGGGAATCTCTGTTGATGAACTAGCCTCATTTCTGTACAGAAGTGGAAACCAGCTAATCTTAATGCTGGCCAGTCTGTGTTCAGATTCAGTGGTGGCTTGTTAATGTGCCCGAAATGTAGGCACACTTAGTGGGATGGTATTTTTTTTAAACAGTCGAGTACAGGCATTTCAGCAGCGACATTATTAACAGCGTCATTTTTCTCATTTAGTTTTGTCCTCAGGGGACACCAAACAGCTCCCAGAGGATGGGAAGAAAGTCCACGGTTATTTATTCATTTCAGTGAAAGGCAAAGTGCTGGCAGTGGGGCTTGGGGAAGCTAACCGGTTGTGAATTTTCTAGTACGGAAAAATCACTACCCTAATTTGACAGTAGTAGTTTAAGGGCTGAGAGAGCTGGGCATGATTTTGCAATTCCCATCAAGTGCAGACAATTTCAGTACTTGTTGGTTGTTTATATATGCATTGTTGAGTGGATTTTTGATGTTCTTGCTTGTGGATATAAAATTGTGTTTTACAGGCTACACGTGTATGATTTTTATGGTTCATTTGGAAGAAGAAAAGGTCCCTGGGCATGGTGTAGTGGATACTTGCAGTCTTGCAGGCCTGTTTCCTGGGGGTCAGGAGGTCATCTGTCTCTTTTGTATTTAGTTTTAAAATATTGATACTGGCCATGCAGCCAGGGTGTGTGGAATTGTTGAGCCTCCCCTCTAATCACATGCAAGCGCTAAAAAAAAAAAAAAAGTCATCCGCGTGTATTGAAAATGACAGCTTTGTTAAGCTCCAAGAACCTTTCCTTAAACTGCTCAGGATTCACAACCTGTCACTGAATTTCTTTAGAAGGGAGAAGGTTAAAAGAAAATAAATATTAGAAGACCCTTGAGATGTTAAGCTCCTCTCTGGAGGTCAATGAAAGGCTCCAATTGGGTAATACTGCTTACTTTTTCAAATATACAATTGAGTTTTGAAAAATCCAGTCACCTGAAGCACAGACACTCCAGCACTTCTTGAAATTAATAAACTATCTGTCAGAAAAGAAACTTTTCTCTCTATAAGGTGGCAGGGAATAGGTGGTCTAGGGAGGAGGTCTTTAGGGATTCTGAAATATCAGATTTTCCTGTTGCTGCAGAAGCCTTTCACTTCTTTCTTCCAGCCAGATTTTGGGGTGAATGAAATTGACTTGCTTTAACTCTTTCAGTGAGTGAGAGAGAGAAGAAAAAAGGCAGTTTAGGAGAGGTAAGTACCAGTCTAAAAAGTGTTTGGCCCACTTTGATAGTATCAGAAGCTTTTCAGAGACACTTTAAAACCACTCTTAATTACCATGGCACAGAAATGCTGGGTAAAAGGGAAAGTGGCTAAAATACCCTATGTACTTTCTCACTTCCTTCTCTCTGCTCTTCTACCTGGAATTTAAAAGACTGGCATTTCTCAAACCACAGATAGTGAAGGGTCCTGCTGAGAGAAGACAGATGTTCCTTCCACACACCCCAATCCATCAGCTCCTCTTTCCAGAAGCCTCTCTTAGAGTTCATCCTGGGAAGACCTGCAGTGGCCTGGGCATTAGCTGTACAAGAAGTAGTATTCTGGGGGTGGCGGGGGTGGGGGGGTCAGCCATCCCGCCCATGGCTCCAAGGCCTGAGAGGACAGTCAAAGCCATATCAAATGAGCACCCCATAAGCTACTCCGGATGTCTCTGTTGCCCATTCTTTCCTCCCTTTTAGTTTCCCCCTCCTCACCATTACTCCTTTCTTATTTTCCTTTTCCTCAGAAACAGATCCAAACCGCCAACTACCAAGCATCCTCCATGCTCATCCAACTGTGCCCAACCATAAGTGCCCTACAAACAGGGAGCGATTTGAACCCCTCAGTGATAGGCCTGGGAGGCCCCAGACGTCTTCACTTCTCTGGGGTCTTACCTGGGTCTGTCGCTGCTTCTTCACCCCTGGCGCTGCTGCAGCTTTTGTGGCCTCTTCTGTGTAAGAGTTGTCAATTTTTCATTTTTCTTTTTTAAGCTTGTGAGAAACTTTAGGATGCGACCTAGTTTGGGTGGCAAAAGGAAACCGTTTCTGTTGGTAAGGGAAACTAATAAGGGAGGAGGGGTAGCGTTGTCTGCAGACACTTGCCCAGGGCTCAGCACTGGGCCTCTTTTGCTAGGGGACAGCGGCTCGTTCTAGATCTCTGGCTGAACGAAGCGCTCTCTGGGTGCCAGGATTTCACTGGGGGTGGTGTGGTGAGGAGGGAGGGAAGTAGAGAGGGAGGGAGAGAAAGAGAGAGATGGGCGCTTGATTTTTAAAGAGACCTCGAAATAATGGCTTCTGTACGAGTTCAGGCATTCAAAGAGGTGTGTTCAAGGACAGGAGTGCATTCGTGCCAAGGGGAATGTCTTTTATGGTAAATTAACTCCGGTTAAATTGAATATTTGTTCAAAGGGAAACTCCAGTAGTTAAAGCTGGTATTATCAGTAGCGCTTCCCCGCCCCCCTCCCCTCAGACTCTGGTATGAGGGTGAGAAAAGGGATGCAGCATAATGTGCAATACAAAGTGATGCTTTGGGTTTGTTGTGTTTTTTTTTTTTTTTTAAATCTAGCATGAGATCGCCTAAAATTTTCTGAGAGAGAAATGAGTATTTATAACGTGGACTGTCACCTCATTTCTTTCATCTATAAAGACGATCAAGTTTATCCTGGCTTTTCAAAAAAGAAGAAATGACCCACACAAAGGAAATTAAGGTTGTCAGAGACCTGACTGGAGGATTTGCCTCCGGGGGGAGCAGGGAGGCCGCTCCCGGTGGTGTGTGCCCTAAAGGGTTAACTCGGGAGAGTTCTCTAAATTTTCCCGACTTTACCTGTCTTCCCAGAACCAACGCTCCCCCCACCTCCACCCCTGGCCTTCTCAACTCCCCCTCTTTCGCCAGTGCTTTTTTTCTTTGGGCTCTTGGTTTACGGGGCCTGCAGCTGGTGGACTTGGCAGGCTCGCCTCATTAAGAGTGCTCTTTGAAAACGGACTGTGTTTGAGCATTTCCCTAATGAGGACAGGACGGGGTTAAAAAGTGACCATTTCATGGTTGACTTGAACCTGCCTACTTTTCTTGATGTGTCGTTGTGAAATGCTTGATGTGGATAACTCCCACTTGCTGAAGGAAAAAGTCACTGGTTCCTTCGGGTCCTCGGGGTGGGGTGATAAAGGGGTGGGGGGAGGTGGGCAGGAGCCGGAGAGACAGAGAGAGGAGAAAGTTGAGGGGAAAAATCGAGAGGGGGGAAGCGAGGAAAAGAGGAAAGGGAAATCAGAGCACAGCTGGAGGTGGGGGCGGCCCCGCCCCGGGGCTGGGGCCGTCAAGTCCTCTCCGCGGCCCCCGGCTAGGTAGACGCGGAGCCCCTGGCACTCACTTTTCCTCTCTCCATTGTCTGCACAGCCTTTGCTTCCACCTCTTCCCCACCCACCCCTGGCCGAAAACCGGAATTTGGGGGGCGGGGTGTGTATGTGAGAGTGTGTGTCTGTGTGTGCCAGTGCCCGTGCGCGCGCGCGCGCGCAGAAAGGGTGCAAGGCAAACCGCCGGCCTCCAAATATCCGAAATCAAGTTCATTCACTCGGGGCCCGCGGCTGGCGGCGGGGTGGGGGCGGGGCTTCGCGCGGGAGCTTGGCGGGCGCGGCCGCCTTTGCAGGGCTGGAGCGGCACACGCACCCCGCTCGCGTGCGCGCCCACCCGCCCGCCCGCCCCGCAGCCCCGGGCGCGCCGCGGCCCCACCCTGCTTGCACCCAGGCGGGGCGGGAGCCGTTTTCCGCCGGCGCCCCGGGCCCCGGGGGGGGGTAGGGATTGGGGGAGAGCCAGAGGGGCTGCAGGAGGAAAAGAGCGGAGCAAGCCGCGGTAGGAGGAGGAATAGGAGGAGGAGGCGCCGGAGGCGGTGGCGGCGGCGGCAGCTCGGCCCGGTCCTCCCGCTCCGAGCGAGGCCACGTGCACCGGGCACCGCCACGGAGGGCGGCAAACCGCGGCGAGGCGCGCCGCTTCTGCGGAGCTGCCCCGGGACGCGGGCCTGCGCAAGGGAGACCCCGGAGGGCCCCGCCCCCATCCGCGCCGGCGCGCCCCAACTACTTGAGACCAAGTTCGCTCAGGCCCCCGCCTCCCCCTCCTCCCTTCAGCCGGCGGGCATTGCGGACCGCGCCCGCCCGGGGTGCGAGAGTCGGCGCCCCAGCCTGGGCCCCGGGGCGGCCTGGGTGTGAGGGAATTTTCCATTCGTTCCTTTCTCCGGCCCAGTCCGGCTCAGTGCTTCTCCCACTCGGAGGTTCCCGCGGTTTAAAGAGTCCGCAGCGAGCACCGAAATACCTCTTCCAGGGCGGGTTTTCGAGGGGTGTGTACGTGGGGGGGGGGGATGCGGGATTTGCCCAAAGGGCGGAAAGAAGATCTATTTAAAATAATAAAAAAAAGTCGTGGTGCTGTTGCAGTGGTATGAGAGCTTTAACAAATGAGAGAGAGAGAGAGAGAGAGAGAAGCAAGAGGAGGAGGAGGAGAAAGGTGGGGGGCGGGGGGTGTGGAGAGGCTGGTGCAAAAGGAATGCGCGTTTGCAGGAGGAGGAGTAAAGCGATGATTGTGTAATTAAATAATAAAACAATCCTTAAGTCTGATTTGGAGAGAGCTCGACCGGGGTCCAGAGGGTGGAACCGGTGAATTTTTCAACTTCCAAGTTTTGCAACGAAAGAAAGCGAGAGAGGGAGGGGAAAAAAAGAGCCCAGAGCAGAAAAGAGAGGAGTTTGGAGCCGAGCGGGAGAGCGGGATTTATCGTTTGGGATTTTTCAGGAGCGCGTTCCGATCCCTCTGGGCGGCGGCGGCAGCAGCAGCAGCCTCCTCGCTCGGCCGGGTCAGACGCGGGGCGAGGCGCGCGGGAGGGCAGCCGGGCGTGGAGGAGTCTGCGCGGGCAGCGGCGGCTGCAGCCGGGGACCGCGCACCGCGAGCCTCTTCCGCCCGGGAGACCTGCGCTCGCGCCCCCTCCCTCACCCCGGCCTCTCCCGGCTCCCCCACCCCACCCCGCCCCCACCCCGGCCCTCTCCCGCGCGCGCCCCTCCACCCGCGCGCACTCGCTCACGCTCCCCCTCGCGCACACACATGGTCGGCTCGCGGCAAAGTTTCGCCTGCGGTCGCCACTCCGGGATCCTGCCGCAGTGCTCGGGGCTGTAACCTTGAACTTTCCCAGCGCGGTGACACATTCTCCTCGCTCTCCCTCCCGCCCTCTCTCCTGCGCCCCCCTCCCCGCCTTTTTTAAAAAAGCATTTCACCACCAACCACCACCCCAATCCAACCCACACCGAATCTTCGCGCACCCCCTAGCCCCCAACAAAAACAACAACTGCAAAACAGAAAACAAATCCCCAAACCCAGGCGAAAAGCAGCCAACACCGGCGGCGGCGGCGGCCTCGGCGAGCACGGCCAGCGCGGTCGGACTGCAGGAGGGTTAAAAGTGTAGATTGGATTTCACCCCGGGAAATCTAGCACGCCGAGTGAACTTGAATCTTTGGCTATTTAAGGAGGACTGGGTTTGTTGTGAAGTTGCGGTGATCCAGCGCAGAGCCCCGTCCTGATTGATCGCATCGCGGGGCTCAGATGACTGTAAAATGAATAGATGAAATTCTTGCTTCTCGAAGATTTTCTTGGGCATCTCCGGGAAAGTGCGTTTTAAGGCGAAGTCATGATGTATTCTCCCATCTGTCTCACTCAGGTACATGCCTCGGTCACTTTCTCGAGCTTTCTCTCTAGCCCGAAATGCCTTTGTTTTGTTTTGCTGCTCTCGTCTGCGGACAATTAATGGCTTTAGTTAACCTCCGCACACCCCGGTCCCCCTCAGAAGAAGTGGCCCGGAGTTGCGGCGGGGTTTGCAGGGCGGCGCGGGAGCCGGCGCGCGGCCCCTAGCCCACGGCCACCGCGAGCGCCGAGCCCAGCGCCCTGGGCACGGAGAGCGGGCGCCCGCGCCCTGCCAGGGCGGCTGGGCCGGGCGAGGCCGCAGGGGATGGGCAGGGCCCGGGCCCGCAAGCGCTAGCCCGCGCGCGGCCCCACTAGTGCCCGCTGTACCCCTGCCCAGGGTGCCCGCCGCCTCGCTTGCGCGCCGAGGCGGACTCCGGCTTTAGAGGAGCTTTAGGGGAGGACAGAGCCCTTATAAACAACCGGTGAACTTAGGCGAGGGGACTCCAGTAGGAGTCCTTGTGGGCGCCTCTGGACTCCGCTGCAGGCAGTGGGCGGGAGACGAAGCGACTCGGAGGTTGTGGTCCGGGGACCCATTCCTTTGCTTAATTTGGGGATCTGAAACTCAGGTCCATCGCGATCCGCACTTTGAGGCGTCCAGTGACCACGCCACAAAGGCGGTCTGTACGTGGACTCGAGTTAGTTGGTCGTGGTGAAAGTTAAGGACTTTTAAAACATGTTCATTTTGTGGAGACCTGTTCATTTGACGATATTTGGGCGTAGGACAGAAAGAAATGCTGGAAAGTAAGGTCATTTAAAATTTTTTCACTCTGAAAATTGTCCTAAGACTTTAGGAACAGTGTTGTGAAATAAAATAGTGGCTTTATACTTTTGCAGGAACACAACTTATATATTTTAAACCAGTCGGTCAAATGGAAAAGTGACGAGACCAAACAGACTTACCTGGGGGCATCTTTCATCGCTGCCCAGCTAACTAACCAACTGACGAGCTGACTAAATATCTTAGCCCAGAGTTGTTACTTGAAGCAGTATTTTAAACCTCTAAAGGTATGGGGCAGTTGACTTCAGCTTTTAGGAGGATATGTCACGATTAGTAATTGAGAACCATTTTCTTTGACGTTGGCTTAAAAACTAAACAGTTGAAGAAGTGTCGCCTAGTCTAAGGTGTGTTACAATTTTTTAAAAATCCAGTATCATGATGATGCATTTTTTCTGATGAACAAATGATTAAGGTTTCAATTGTGTGACAATTAGAAGCCATTGTGATTCAAAAGGACTGAGGCATTCATAAATTGTGAATGAAGATGAAAACAATGATAAGGCTTATTCAGTGATTGGATACAGTCCTGTAGCTTTTTGGCTGACACATTTTTTATTGTTTATATTTTGTTTGGCATCGGAGTATGATTAACTTAGATATGGCTATTTTCAGCAAGTAAACGTGCACTTTAATTTAACAAAACTGGAAAAATGAATTGCTGAGCTATTTGTATTTTTAAGGCTGTGAATAATGGCCAATAAATATGATGATGAAACTGTTTCAGGTATAACGAATTGCCTTCAGCTGCAAAAGTTACCTTTCATATTACCCATCAGCAGGATTTTTTTCCCTCTTTCTGGTAAACCACATCCATTTGACATTATTTTTACGTTATTGAAGCATAGTTCAAATAAAACAAATTAAGGTAAGGTTTTCACTTGCAAAGTGCTGTACCACTTACTCTCATGTAAAGGATTGCTTTTCTATATTAGTTCATATTTCCAGCATCGGCTTTTCAGAAACATTGCTAGCGATTACATTGCATTTTCGGTTTCCTCTAAATATGTATTGAAAAGTCACTAGCTTTATCTAAATTTGTGTAAGTTAAAAATAATATTGTAGCATCGTGACATATGGAATATTACGAGCATGTACAGCATAGTCATTCAGCTATCACATTAGTATTCAAGGGTGCATGCTTACCAACACTAATTCATGATGACTGATATTCTCTACTGTTTTAATAATGTAAATCTAAGTTGACATATTGAAACTGTTTTGGGGATTTAAGGTCTAGACTAGAGAAGAAATTTTAGCTTTAGAATTCTCACTTTAATATCTGTGTGACTTTATAGGTAGTGTAAGGTGTTGCAAAAGTAACATTAACGGTGTTACTTTGATATCAGACCAGTAGTTTAGTTTTGTCAGCAAAACATTTTTTAGGGTATGTAAATACAAGATAGAGAAACATTCTTAATTGATTGGAAACTTTACTAAGTGTTTCAGTTATCACAAAAGGATATCTAGGTTTTAGAAAGAATTTGCAGAAGGAGCTACAGTTAAAGTTGATATTTATCAAAGTGTTACTCAAAAGTATCAGTACCTGGATATAAATCTGTATTTATGTATCAGTATAAATCAGATGTTTAAAGAAAATTAAGAACCATCATGATATGATTTTGTATTTGCTTTTTCTAAAAATAATGTAAATCCTTAATAGTATAACTTTCACTTGGAATGATTGCATTGAATTTTTTTCTTCTTTCGCTGTTTCTCAAGTTCTTAAGGTACATTTAAAAAAATGGTTTACTGTTATATAGCAGTGGTCCAAGAACATCTAGTATTTATTCTTCTGCCTCTATATTGGTCTAATTTTCCATCCCTTTCATGGAGACCGCTGTTTCTGTGAAGAAAAAGAAATATTTCCAGTAGAATTAGGACTGTTTACTTTTATATTTGAAATTTGTAACTAGGCTATTTATTTTATCAATTTAGTTCAACTAAAGGAAGTTTAAAAAGAGAAAAAATTGGCATTACTGAATGCCAATGTGTTTTAATAAAAATTCTGAGAGAGCAAGGTGGCATATTACCTTAGCATACAGCCATTAGATCTTAGATCATTTACATGCTTTGCTTTCTTAAAAAATAATTTTCATAGTTGTTTAAAGTATTATTGTGATAATCTATTAATTAGGACATCTGAATACCTTAATCACGTTTTTTTTGATGAAGACAAATTACTATGCTCCACATTCATATCATTCAAAATCACTAAAAATATATTGTAACAGCATTAGAAAACAGTCATACTTGAGAGATGATATTTTAGTCATGGTAACACAGAAATATATGTGACTTGCTGAAAATCTCTACTTATCACTTTTTTGAGGATATGTCTCCATGGCAGAAGTAAGTGTTTTGCTTGAAAGGAATTCACATAATAGTAAAGCCCTGAAAGATATTTATAAGGCAACTGTGGACTGAGAAAGTTTGCTACTTCTATTTATCAATAGGAAAAAAGTATGTTTTAAAACATTACTTGGCAGCATTGGCAACAAACTCAAGGCAACCTTAAAAAACATTGTTTTGTGTGCATTTGCTAAGAAATTCCAAATTCAGCCCTCACATTTGCATTTTGATTGTTTAACTAAGTTATTAAAATTTTGAGATCTGTTACATGATAGATGATTGGAAGCTCAAACAAATTTAATCAAAGTATGTTTGATGTCTTTATAGGAAAATGAAATGTTACTGAACATAGTACTTAAGGATAAAAGTACTTAGAAGTTAACACATTGCTTAATATCTGTTAAAATAATATCGTATTTTTAAAAGTATGGCAAGGGTAAAGTGAGTGAGGCAAAGCTCCTCCCGCCCCCATGTACTCTTTACATCTCAAGTTTTTAGTTCATGAGTATATATGTATGTTTTTTGATCATATCAATAAATCATAGTTAAAGTCAGAATATAGGAAGTGAGTTCCCAAAGCATGTTTGAGTCCACATCTCCTTGAGCAGGGTTTCCTTTTGTATATATTTCTAAGGGGGATAAACAAAGTTTTTGTAGTTACAGTGAATGCTGAAAGCATGGCATCAGAAAGTATATGGAGATAGGGAGGTCTTATCATGGGCTGTGGTTGC